TTCTTTGTCAATTCTTTTAATCAAATTCATGAAAAAAATAATGTCTTGTATTACTTGTTGGAATAAAAAACTTGACTTTTTTTTTTTTTTTGGATAACATAGTTTTACGCTTCTGATACAGTCAAGATATCCACAGCATTCAAATGATTTTTTTTGAGACCCCCTTTTCCCTTTTCTTCCTCCTTTACTTACCCTCACTCTACTCTCACTTCTCCTCACTTGCCCATTTCCTTTCTTTGTGGTAGCTGTTGCATTTTAGGTGTGGGATAGGGGCTTTCGTAGCTGGCTGAAGTTATTCCTTCTTTTCTCATCTCTCCGTTCATCTTTCTTCCCCGTTCAAGCTTGTCTCCTTCCTGGAAGCTCGGATCTTCGCACCGAGGTAAGGGAAGCTAGGTTTTTGTTGATCTTGGCTGTAAATGAGTTCTAGAAACTCATTGGTTGTTTGATATTTGATGATTTTTGTTGAGATTGAAGAAATTGGGGCTTTTGGGTTTTACGGGGTTTGATGGAAAATTTGGGGTTTTTTATGATTGATGGATGCATGTTGAAAAAGCTGGTATTTTTTAGTTGTTGTTTGAAAATGTGGTACTTTGGACCGTTTGCATGTGGAATTTCTGTTGATTTTTGCAGGTTTTGAGCAAATTTTCGAAGTTGGAGAGTTTCTGATTGAAAGCACGCCGGACACAGTTCTTGGCGCCGGGCGCGTGACCATCAGAGGGCTCCATTGGTCAAGCACGCTGGGTGCAGGGTTGTGTGTGCCGGGCGAGCTTGAAAATGGATGCCCTTGGATGGCTCACGCTGGGCGTGGTTGGACCACGCTGGGCGCGCTATCAGTCAGTGACCCACTCTTTTTGGTTTTTGATGTGGCGTCGGGCGTGGAGACTCCTTGGGAGTCTCTGCCAGAGGTGGCGCCAGGCGCAATTTATATTGCGCCGGGCGTGAGACCCTGGGAAGGTCTCTGCTTACCTTGCGCCGAGCGCGGGTTTGCACGCCGAGCGTATGAGACCTTGTGAGATCTCTGCCTCCTATCACGCCAGGCGTTATAGGAATTGCGGTGGGCACGATGACCCCCTGGTGTTCTCTAGTTGTGCCACGCCGGGCGCGATCATGAGTGCGCCGGGCACGGATAAGATGATGTCTTATGTGCTGAAATTTGCTGATAATTGTGGTTAAACAATGAGCTGAGCTGTGCCGAATGTCGTTTATGCTAATTTAAAGCTGTATTTGATGTATACTGTTGTGCTGGATGCTGATATTATTGTGTTGTGTTGAGATGTATGCTGTTATAGCCGCTATGTCGGTGCTGTTATTAGCCACTATTGTGGTACTATAGCCGTTATGTTGGTGCTGTTATTAGCCACTATTATGGTGCTGTTATAGCCGCTATGACGGTGCTGTTATTAGCCACTATTGTGGTGCTGTTATAACCGTTATGTCGGTGCTGTTATTGTTGAATGCTGTGATATGCTAAACTGATATTGTTAAGATGGTTGGTGTGCTGATAGCTGTAGTTGTTTATCCTTCATATTTCACATATGTATGCTGATTCTTTTCCTTAGCTTACCCTTTGTTGTTTCCATGTAGTTTGGACTGCGATGATCATACTATGTATGGGAGCAGGGCAGGGTTGAGGTTGGTGTTTTTGCTAAAGAAGGTCTACATTGTATTTTGTACACTCTGATTCTAGACGAATTTGGACCTTATATATATATATATATATTTTAGATCCTATATGTATATACTTGTTCGTTTCTGTGTAGTATTCTGGTGTGCTGTGACCTGCCGAGTCGTTACATTTTCAAATATCAAACGGTCTGGAAAAAAAAAAAGTTAACGCAATGTATGATATATGTGCTAGTTACGCACACTAATTAACCTCCGTCCAAGTTCATGTTGAGTTGTGTGAAACTTAAAATCCTTTGTTTGAGAAGACAATTGTTCCTTTCTAATTTTTCTTTCTTGGTGAAAATATGTAGGGGGGTGGGAGAAAATGTGTTATTCTCTTCTTTAGGTAGACAAATAGATTCGTGGAATCTGTTCTATTCTTACTGATGAAGTTATATGAAATTTGATCACTAGTTAACTTCGGCAATGCTATTGACGATAAGCTAAAACATTGGTCAATGTTTTCTCCTAAAGAAGATGGATGGATTTGTTCTCATGGTTCAAAAAGAACGTGGTGTTCCTCCAAGTTATTTAGGGGTTAGACTTCCTTTTTCTCAATTTCAAGTGGACATACTTATTTTTTGACACTGGACCATGTCTTAAGTGTTTTTAAGAATAAGGAACATTTTAATTTGCAGTTTTGTGAATGAATCCTCTTTATATGTAAATAGAGTTTTGACAAAAAAAAAAAAGTTAATTGCATTTGTAATTAGATCACGTAAAATACTCTAATAAGGGAGAAATGCCTTACAAAGTATATATCTTGGTTTTGACAGGATTCCTAATTATTTTTCTTAGTTCCGATTACCTACACCACAACATAAAGAATCTTTAACAATATTTAAAAAATGTTACATAACAATTTTACACAATTAGGAAATATTTTTCAAATGTTATCAAAATGATATTTTTGTAATATTTTAATAATATTACTAAATTTTTGTTAATTTTATAAAATGACAATTAGTTTTAATTTATATATTGTTATCAATTATTACATTTTTATATCTCTTAAACTCCTATATAAAAATTCTTTAAGAGAAAGTTAAAGACATTTTTAATTAGTCACTACTTATTATATATCAAATATCAAAGTTTATTTATCATAGATATAACTATATAATTATATATACTATTTGTGAGTTATTCATTTATTCGATGTGAGACTTTAATCATGGATAACAATTATAGATGAGAGAAATAAACTTTTTTTTTACTCAAAAAATGCTAGTTATCTACAATAACATTTTTCTAAAAAATGTTACAAAATAATCTATTTATTGAATAAATAGTAACATTTTAACAAATATAAGAAAAATAATGTTACTAAAGAATTAAAATATAGTAGTGCTAGAATTTGTTCTAACACTCAACTAGGCTTA